CGCCCCCCCCCGCCCCCCCCCAACCCCCCCCGCCGCGGCCGCCTGAGGTGGCGCGGGGAGAAGCGGCCGTTTTCCCCGCAGCCACCGGGACGCGGAGCTCGGCAGGGAGCCCCAGCGCCGAGGAGAACGCGGCGCCCGAACGAGAAGCCATGATGGCCGCCAGCTTCACACACCGCGGAGCGCCGCCGGGAGCCGCCGCCGCCGGCCGCCCCTGCCCGGCACCCGAGACGCGGGGGGCTTTCCACCAGCTTTCACACAATAATCATAATAATAATAAAAACACCAAGCCGCCGGCGGGGAGGCCGCTTCACGTGCTGAGTGGCCGCACTAAAGCACAACCACCGTGAATATCAACTGCGTCACGTCTTTCCAACTGTAAAACGCAGGCTGCAAAGGGTCCCTCACTTGGAAGGAAACTCCCTCATTTTGGATTTACTTCCAGACCTACATCTTGCCCCCCTCTCCAAGCCACTGCCTCTCGCTATGAAGGACTTTACAGCGTTTTTCCTTTTTTAAATACATGTATAGTGAGACATTCTCCATTAAGACGCTCACCGTCCTGAAAAACAACCCCCCCACCCCATTTTGTTGCTTTTGAATTTTTCTGTCGAACCAAATGCTTCAATAACTAGAGGGACAAACATGTAAGGGATCCCACCACCACCGCCGACTTCTCGCCTTTTTTCTTTTTTTCTCTTCTTTAAATCAACCTTAGCAATATCTTGCTGTTTGTAGGCAGATTTTTTTGGTGCATTCATTTTGAACAGCCACGTAATGCCTGCACGGACTCACAGCAGCGTCTCTCCGCACAAAGGAAAAAAAAAGCAGGGCTGGGGACAAGCAAGCTTTGTGCAGAAAAAAAAAATTCTGAAAAATATACATTCAGATATGCTCTGTAGGTATCCAGCGAGAACAAGAGAGCTACCGTTTCTACAGACCGTCGTTGGGACCGCTCTGCTCTGCCTAGGACAAAAACATTTGCTGCACAGGCCTGGTCTATATGTTTCTCTGCAAGGGCAAAAGGCTCTACTTACCCGCACACCATAGCTGAACGCGGTTCTGAAGGTGAAGTTGTTACGCTTTTTAAAATATGGCTATAAATATATATGATCTGTATCACCACTTCTCTCGTAAGTTTGCAAGTCAAAACGGATCTCGTTATTTACGGATCTCTGTATGGCAATGCTCTTAACATCAAAAAAAAAAAGAAAGAAAAAAGATAAAACCCCCAAAAAACTAGAAAATGTTGTCCAGCTATGTTGACTGAGAGTATCCAGTTAGGACTTCTACTCGAGGCTTAAATATAAGTTCCCGGGAGAGATTTACTCTGTACATAAAAAAAAAAAAAAAGGACATTCTGTGTTTTTCCACCGAATCCACAGAAACTAAGGACTGTTTTCCTCAGTATTTTAGTCTGTACATGTTAGTGTGAAAACACCTGATTAACATTTACTGATCGTAAGCAACTTCAAACATCTCTATCTAGATTCCTTGATTTATATAAGTAAAATATTTCAAAAGCATAAATTGGTTTAGATAAACAGACAAAAACATAATACATGCAAATGAAGGCTTAGAAATAAGGACCACTTCAGTAACATTAACATGAAAACTACACTTAGTAAGGACAGAATGGATTGGGTACTTACAACATAAGAAAGAGGAAAAAAAGAAAGCTTATCATAGTAAAATTGCTCATTTTTTGCCAGTATTCACTATTCCTATATTTAAAACATTACCTTATAAGCACCAGAGGAGTTAATAAAAAAATGGCCAGGAATTAAGTGTTTAATACAGGAAATACTTCCTAAAATTTATTGTTCAATCATCGTATAGCTCTAAAGCTTCAAAACCCCCAAACAAAAACATGTTATTTACTTATTTTGCATTCAAAATTGTTACTGCTGACATAGGGTGTGCCATGACCTAGTTACACAAGACAAAGATGGATTCCAGCTCAGAGGGAAAAATCCAAAATCTTTTTTTTTTGGGTCTTCCTTCTTCAGTGAGTCCTCTAAAGCCTGTTGCCAGACATTAGCACAACCCTGAGCAGTCCTGAAATGGATGGCAGTGGATTCGAGTGGAGTATTCCCCCTTTTGGAACAAAGGAAAAGCCCAGTTGGCCATTTTAATTCCAATGCAGAAAAATGGCTGCCTGGTCTCTTGGCCTCTCCTGAGCTCTGTCTGCTGAGGGATGTTTTTAGCCGGGCGTCTAATAACTCAAAGCCCCGATGGAAGCCGCGCGCCCATTGGCTCGCGGCCGCGCGCTCCCTCCAACCAGCCAATTACGCGCCCGCGCGGCCCCC